ATTAATCGTGATTAATCATTTGACAGCCCTACAGAAAATATAAATATTGTGTATGAATTGTTTACATTTTATATTTTTAAATTTTTCTTTTCAGATACAAATGTATAAAATGTGTTTTTGTTTACTTTTAAAGTGCATTATTGATACTAAGGTGTATTTTCATTGTCACTGAATTATTAGTATGCTTTTGCTGATTTTTAAAAAAATGCTTAAAGGGTGGACGAAATAATCTAAATAATAACAGGGTGGACCGAATAATAACAGGGTGGACAGATTAATAACAGGGTGGACAGATATTTTGGATGTGATTAATCGTGATTAATCATTTGACAGCCCTACAGAAAATATAAATATTGTGTATGAATTGTTTACATTTTATATTTTTAAATTTTTCTTTTCAGATACAAATGTATAAAATGTGTTTTTGTTTACTTTTAAAGTGCATTATTGATACTAAGGTGTATTTTCATTGTCACTGAATTATTAGTATGCTTTTGCTGATTTTTAAAAAAATGCTTAAAGGGTGGACGAAATAATCTAAATAATAACAGGGTGGACCGAATAATAACAGGGTGGACAGATTAATAACAGGGTGGACAGAATAATAACAGGGTGGACTAAATAATGCCAGGGTGGACAGAATAATAACAGGGTGGACTAAATAATGCCAGAGTGGACAGAATAATAACAGGGTGCACAGAATAATAGCAGGGTGGACCGAATAAAAACAGGGTGGACAGAATAATAACAGAGTGGACAGAATAATAACAGGGTGGACAGAATGAATAATAACAGTGTGGACAGAATAATAGCAGGGTGGACAGAATAATAGCAGGGTGGACAGAACAGGGTGGACAGAATGAATAATAACAGGGTGGACAAAATAGTGGACAGAATAATAACAGGGTGGACAGAATGAATAATAACAGGGTGGACTAAATAATGACAGGGTGGAAATAACAGGGTGGACAGAATAATAACAGGGTGGACAGAATAATAACAGGGTGGACAGAATAATAACAGGGTGGACAGAATGAATAATAACAGGGTGGACAAAGTAGTGGACAGAATAATAACAGGGTGGCCCGAATAATAACAGAGTGGACAAAATAATAACAGAGTGGACAGAATAATAACAGATTGGACAGAATAATAACAGAGTGGACAGAATAATAACAGGGTGGACAGAATAATAACAGGGTGGACAGAATAATAACAGAGTGGACAGAATAATAACAGAGTGGACAGAATAATAACAGGGTGGACAGAATAATAACAGAGTGGACAGAATAATAACAGAGTGGACAGAATAATAACAGGGTGGACAGAATAATAACAGGGTGGACAGAATAATAACAGGGTGGACAGAATAATAACAGGGTGGACAGAATAATAACAGGGTGGACAGAATAATAACAGGGTGGACAGAATAATAACAGAGTGGACAGAATAATAACAGGGTGGACAGAATAATAACAGAGTGGACAGAATAATAACAGGGTGGACAGAATAATAACAGGGTGGACAGAATAATAACAGAGTGGACAGAATAATAACAGGGTGGACAGAATAATAACAGGGTGGACAGAATAATAACAGGGTGGACAGAATAATAACAGGGTGGACAGAATAATAACAGAGTGGACAGAATAATAACAGAGTGGACAGAATAATAACAGAGTGGACAGAATAATAACAGGGTGGACAGAATAATAACAGGGTGGACAGAATAATAACAGAGTGGACAGAATAATAACAGGGTGGACAGAATAATAACAGGGTGGACAGAATAAAAACAGGGTGGACAGAATAAAAACAGGGTGGACAGAATAATAACAGGGTGGACAGAATAATAACAGAGTGGACAGAATAATAACAGAGTGGACAGAATAATAACAGGGTGGACAGAATAATAACAGAGTGGACAGAATAATAACAGGGTGGACAGAATAATAACAGGGTGGACAGAATAATAACAGGGTGGACAGAATAATAACAGAGTGGACAGAATAATAACAGAGTGGACAGAATAATAACAGAGTGGACAGAATAATAACAGAGTGGACAGAATAATAACAGGGTGGACAGAATAATAACAGGGTGGACAGAATAATAACAGGGTGGACAGAATAATAACAGGGTGGACAGAATAATAACAGAGTGGACAGAATAATAACAGAGTGGACAGAATAATAACAGGGTGGACAGAATAATAACAGGGTGGACAGAATAATAACAGGGTGGACAGAATAATAACAGGGTGGACAGAATAACAACATGGTGGACAGAATAATAACAGAGTAGACAGAATAAAAACAGGGTGGACAAAATAAAAACAGGGTGGACAGAATAATAACAGAGTGGACAGAATAATAACAGAGTGGACAGAATAATAACAGAGTGGACAGAATAATAACAGGGTGGACAGAATAATAACAGGGTGGACAGAATAATAACAGGGTGGACAGAATAATAACAGGGTGGACAGAATAATAACAGGGTGGACAGAATAACAAAATGGTGGACAGAATAATAACAGAGTAGACAGAATAAAAACAGGGTGGACAAAATAAAAACAGGGTGGACAGAATAATAACAGGGTGGACAGAATAATAACAGGGTGGACAGAATAATAACAGAGTGAACAGAATAATAACAGAGTGAACAGAATAATAACAGAGTGGACAGAATAATAACAGGGTGGACAGAATAACAACATGGTGGACAGAATAATAGCAGGGTGGATCGAATAATAACAGAGTAGACAGAATAAAAACAGGGTGGACAAAATAAAAACAGGGTGGACAGAATAAAAACAGGGTGGACAGAATGAATAATAACAGGGTGGACAGAATAATAACAGAGTGGACAGAATAATAACAGAGTGGACAGAATAATAACAGGATGGACAGAAAAATAACAGGGTGGACAGAATAATAACAGAGTGGACAGAAAAATAACAGGGTGGACAGAATAATAACAGGGTGGACAGAATAATAACAGGGTGGACAGAATAACAACATGGTGGACAGAATAACAACATGGTGGACAGAATAATAGCAGGGTGGATCGAATAATAACAGAGTAGACAGAATAAAAACAGGGTGGACAGAATAAAACAGGGTGGACAGAATGAATAATAACAGGGTGGACAGAATAGTGGACAGAATAATAACAGGGTGGACAGAATAATAACAGAGTGGACAGAATAATAACAGAGTGGACAGAATAATAACAGGGTGGACAGAATGAATAATAACAGGGTGGACAGAATGAAGAATAACAGGGTGGACAGAATAATAACAGGGTGGACAGAATAATAACAGAGTGGACAGAATAATAACATGGTGGACAGAATAATAACAGGGTGGACAGAATAACAACATGGTGGACAGAATAATAACAGGGTGGACAGAATGAATAATAACAGGGTGGACAGAATAATAACAAATTAGACAGAATAATAACAGGGTGGAACTTTTATTGAGTTTCACTGTAACACAAATAGTGATAATCTAATATTAACAAGTCAAATGGAATGTTTTGTTTGCATTTTCCAAGAATCACAAAAAGCAAATGTGACACGACATCTTACAGGCTTTAACACAGAATAATAAAAACTCCTCTCAAAGGGCTCATAAAGCAGATACATTCAGTGAAAACAAGTGCTTATATAGTATAGCTTATTTACAACAATATGTTTTCCACATTCCACTTCGCCTCGCGCACAGTCGAAAGCCACGACCACCAACGGGGACAGACGTTGGTGTACTAGAAAGTACTTTTTTGCGGCCATGAAGTACCCTAATTACTTATTCGAAACAAGTACCTACTAAAGAGAGTATGCGATTCTGGATGCAGCCCATGATCCCTAAAAATACAGTGGTACAGTTTGCTATAATATCAGATGATAAGTCCACTAGGTAGTGCACAAACTGTTCTGATGACGAAAATTAGGTCACATGGTCAACAGACGAAGCGGAACGCAGACAAGTGAACTATTCGCTTTGTTTAATATCCATTGGTTTTTCCATATTAACACATGCGCATTTAGATTGAAATATAAATCTGTGAACAGTTTCGACTGAAGAAATCTCGCTAAAAGCAACTTTACAGTCAGACTGATGTGTTTAAATGTACAAATACAACGTGATACCAATAAATGTATGAATAATCCATAACAAACACAAACTCTTTCACTAGTCATACGTCACATCACAGAAGTAAAATGTGATGTGATATTAGTGCATAAACAACTAACAGGGAACGCTCTGAGCAAACGTTCTTCCAGTAACGTTAATAGAACGTTCGTTCAATGTTCTTTGGTCTTTAATGATGTTCTTTAGAACGTTTGCTCAGAGAACATTCAAACGTAATGTTCCCAACGGAACGTTCCCTTAATCATCCTTCCCTCGCACTTTGTAACACATCTTCCCCTCGCGGGTCAAAATGACCCGAAACCCTAAAATTAAACTATTTATTTATTGTTTGTTCAGAAAGCTTATTTCATTTTGATAATAATATTAATAATATTTTGTCTATTATTTAATGCGATTTTTTGTTATTTTTTATTTTATTTACCTTTAAATGACTAGATTTGATCAATAATAAAAAAAAATGTATTTAAACATTCCTCACATTCTTTCAGCTTAAATTCAAAATAACTCACAATTTCATTCATAACCCTTTTAATTCAGCTCTAAATATCTTACATTGGGAGTCTTTGTCGAGCTCTTGTGGGAAATTAATAATAACACATGATATTTCATGACTCTAGATGGGCTTATAGCTCTATATGGAGCAGAGGAGCTGTTCCGCTGGGTCCTAAAGTCAGTTCTCTTCAGTCCGCATTCAGATACACATGTAGACATTATAAAATCATTTTTTGGTAAAGTTTTAGCATTTTTAGTTTGAATTTTGAGCATTTTTAGGTTTTCTATGTGTATTGAAGCATTCCTCGCATTCCAGTCATTCCTAAGGGGGTTAAAATGACCCGCGACGGAAGGATTTGTTACTTTTTAAAATTTCAACCACAAAAACTCGAATCGTGGTTCAAGTGCGACAAAAGTCCTAGGGTCTCGGACCCCTCTGATGAACACTCAATTTAAAAAAAATAAGTGTCGGGTCAAAATGACCCGAGGGAAGGATGATGGTAACGTTCGCATAACAAAGAAAAAACATTGTGAAAACGTTGAGAAATAAAGTTCTCATGACTTGTGTTGTGTGTGTTTGGTTTCAGGGAGTCTGAACAGGATCTCTTCCGATGAAGCTCATATCTCAGTGGACTGGAGCACTTCTCCGCTGACCGCGGGCTCGGGGTTTGGCCAGGGTTTGCCGTTGCTCTGGCCGTTGAGTGTGTGTGTGTTGGACGAGCCGTGCTCGAGGCTGATGGTGACCCGGCTGGTCTCGGTGATGGAGGAGTTGGTGTGATAGTTACAGTGAGAATCTGTGGTCACCAAACGCCTTCGCCTCCACTGACAGCGATACTGAGCGAACTTACGCCGGAGAGCCGACTGCACCTGCGGGACCGGACACACACACTCAGATCGTGCGCTTCTGATGCTACCTTTCTTTCTTTCTTTCTTTCTTTCTTTCTTTCTTTCTTTCTTTCTTTCTTTCTTTCTTTCAGAAAGAAATCATTTTCTGCACAGCATGCACTCCATATATTTTGTCATGTGTGGAAATGGTTTGTTGAATGTGTAGAAATAATGAGATACACCAAGTCATAATTATGAGGTGAAAAGTCGACAGTCATAATTATGGCGTATTATGGCATATATGGCATATTATGGTGAACTAAATCGAAATTATAACTTTAAAAATAAATTATGAGATTACAAAGGCTAAATTCATGACAAAAATTCACAAAATTGTGACAAAAAGTTTTAAAAAAAAATACAAAAAGTTGAAAATCTAGAAAGTCACGATTTTTTAATTTTTTTCTTATAACTTCGCATTTTTAATATCATAATTTTGTCTTTTTTATTTCATAATTAAATTTTTTTATCTAATAATTTTAACTGTATGCCATAATGTTGTCTTTTTAATCTAATAATTTAAAATTTTTAATCTCATAATTTTTTTTTTTTAAATCTCATAATTTAGATTTTTTATCTCATACTGTAATTTTGAATTTTTAATCTCACAATTATGACTTAGTATGTCATAATCTTGCCTTTTTTTTGTCATAATTTCAATTTTTTATCTCATAATTTCATCTTTTTTAAAATCTCAATTTGGACTTTTATCTCATATTTTCAATTTTTTATCTCATAATTTCGTTTTTTCTTCTCTTAAATATTTTTTTAAATCTCATTTCGATTTAGTATGTCATAATTTGGCATTTTAATGTCATAAAATCTCATATTTTAAATATTTCAATCTCATAATGTCAACTTTCTTTCATCTTAATTGACCTTTTTTCCCTCATATTTTCAATTTCATAATTATGACTTAGTATGTCATAATTTCGGCTTTTTAATGTCACAAGTTTGACTTTTTAATCTCATATTTTCATTTGATTCTGATCAAATAATTACAAAGAAAAAGTTAAAAATCACAGTGTATTACTGGACGCTTTCTCTAATGGTGTTTGTTCATCGGGGTTATTGCATGCAAAACATTCACTCCACTTACATACGGAATACTTTATTTTATAGATCTACAATCCCCAGGAGTTCATGTTCATCTAAAGTGCTTTAATAAAGAGAAATTAGGGTAATTAATGAGGATTAAACAGGAAGTCATACCTCTCCGTTACAGAAGCAGAAGATCACGGCCACCAGGAAACCCTGCAGACACACACACACACACACACACACACACACACACACACACACACACACACACACACACACAGGGTTATTAGTGTTCACTAAAACTTACACCATTAGAAACATTATAGCCACTTAAAACAAAATAAACCTTGACTAAAATCGACATAAAAAAATTAAACCCAGTTACCAAAGCAACTTTTCTTATTTTTGTTATAAATTTTTCATTTCGCTTTTAAAGACATACATAAAAAAAATAATAAAAATTACACAAAACACAACAAAATGACTAAAAACAAACTAAAATGGAAACAGAAGATATAAAATCTAAACTAATTAAAAATAATAATCTCAATCTCAATCTATTTATAAAGCACAATAAAAACACCGTTGTGCTGAAAAATATTTAAAAGAAAAATGAAAAAAAAAAAAAACATAAAACAATGACAATAAGACACAAATATGTTTAGAAAAACCCTGTTTGAAACTCAGCGAATATAAGAGAGAAAGAAATATCTTCTTGAAGAGATAGGTTTTTAATTTAGCTTTAAAAAGTGATTCTGATGTGATTCATCTAATAATAATAATAAACCCATTACTATAATCGCAACACAACACTGCTGTACTCGTCTCAAAGAAATGCATCGGTTTAATAATAGACTTTAAATGGAAAAAAAGCCCTTTTGTGCTGGTGATATTAAAAACACACTCGATGCTGCTTAAGGAGGCATTTCTTTAAATTAGTCACACGGTAACACTGTATAATAAGGTTCATTAGTTAACATGAGTTAATGTATTAACTAACATGAACTAGCAATGAGCAATACATTTGACACAGTATTTATTAATCTTTGTTAATATTAGTAAACTGTTCATTGTTTGTTCATGTTAGTTCACAGTGCATTAACTAATGTTAACAAACACAACCTTTGATTTTAATAATGTATTAGTAAATGTTGAAATTTATATTGACTAAGATTAAATAAAAAAAAATTGTATCAAAATATCCAAAGACCACTTGCACAGTGTAATATATTTCTTTCAATTGTGTACTTACATTATCCTAAATGTTTCCAAGAATTTGTAAATTCATAGAAATTCACAATTTTGAATAATGCCCGTCCTTGGTCACGTGTCGCCTGTCACTGACGTCATATCCACGTTATCCCTGGTTTCCGCTCGTACTGCCGTGTAGTAACCATGGCGACAGACGTGGACAACAGTGTAACGGCTAGCGGCGCGCTCACGCTGTTGTTGTCGCTTTCAAACATTATGGATCATGACAAGCAGACTTTGGGAGAAAAGGAGAACTAAAACGAGGATCAGTATCAGCATGGTGTTTCGAGATGCCGAGAGCTCCACAGCAAACTTCGACTCGACAGAGACGCCGCTCTCGCATGGGCTTTATTAGACAGGTGAGCAAATGTACATAAAACTAATCAGTGTTATAGAGCTTCTGTAGCTCCGCCCCTTTTCAGCGCTCGTTGTCTTTTGTCTTCCGGTCTGTATTTCCACAGATCTTGCGTATTTATGAATGAAGGGCTCGTTTTAAAATCTTTACGGTCTACTGACATTTGTTAAGACCCCTGCTTTGAACATTACAATCCTCATGATAACTTTCGTTAATTTTACATTAAGTAACGTTAAATCCACTTCAGAAGCGAATTACTCCTGGACAGCGATGTCATATACAGAGCGACCGCAAAAACGCAAGTTCAAAGACTATTGCTGCGTCCCAATTCGCATACTATCCGTCCAAAATAGTATTCGAAAATAGAATTAGTACGTCCCAAATCGTAGTATGTTGAAATGAGTGTTCCACAGAGACACGGATGGTCTACTATATCCGGTCAGAATCCGAAGTGCAGATCGATGTGCACTCTAACGGCTGATATTGCCCACAACCCATCGCGCGTTGGACGAGGATTCGGTTAGAACTACAAACACGAGTGAAAAGTGTTCAAAAACTACAGACATGGAGGACGCGTGAGTCCGACGGTTACAGGGTTCTCAAGTTCAAAAGCTTGGAGTGAGATCACATGCGGTTAGGGGAGGAGCCCAAGGGGAGGAGCCCCAGTGGAGCCCCGCCCCCCAATTTTACCCATTGTTCATAATCAACCAGCACAAATTAAAATTATAACAATTGGTAAATCTGATAAATGACAGAGCAATTCATCACATCAAATATACTCTTTAATGTTATATTTCAAAATTACTAAAATATAACAAATTACTCCAAACAGTTTGGAAAAACAAATCTTTTTGCATTTTTCCCTGACATCTTTGAAAAATACAAATGCAATGGCAATGATTAATGTATGTTTTGACCGGATATAAAATATTACCCAGAGCACTCTGCCTTAATACATGTAGCCTTGATGTAACTGGAAAGACTATTAATACAGTATAATATATAATTTAAAATAAAATTTAATTCTTCAATAAACTTAATTCCTTCCCATACCCACTAACATTTCCCTTAGCAAAAGCTTCTGGCTTGGTTGCAAAGTAGTTGTAGAGTTTTTGACTGCATCAATAATAATGTATAAGATTGGCTATATATTAAATGTTCTAGCCTAAAAATATTAGACGAGCTTTCTTCCAACTTACCTTCCCCATCATGGCCTATGATCACGACGTGTGTTCACGCGATATTGTTGGTTACCTAGTAACGAACGTACGGTGGCCGAGAATGTGTGTGCGTACGTTCGCGCGATAGCCGAGAATGTTCCGTCAACTTCCGTGTGTTTGTGCATCTATGTTGCCTAGTAACGAACGCAATCTGGCCGAGATACGGACGCGCTGGCGGCAGGAAACTTCACTTTGTGTGCCTGCGCCTCGTATACAACGTGATATAAAGCTTGCAGGACAACTTGGTTGGCATTGCCTTTTCAGCGTGAGAAATACACGGTGTGGCGTGTGAGCGTGTGAACAGGTTGAATTGCGTGTGTCTCACGGCCAATGCGTGAGACTTGAGAACCCTGCGGTTATGTAGAGAGGTTTAGATAAAGGGGTTTGAGTGATTAATTATCAGTATCTAACCTGACGAAAATGTATTTATTCAATGTTGTCCACATTATATTGCGTCTGCAGCAGCATTGTGAACTTTGCAAAGATACGTTTAGCCATTAACTTTTAAATGCATTATTATATTCAAATTCCAAACACGAGGAGAGTCTCGGCATGAAAGACCCATGACTGGCAGATGAACGTGCGACAACATTGCTGTCCGTTAAAGATGACGAAGTAGTATGTCCCAAAGCTTGCCTACTCTACACACTCAAAAGTATGTACTTGTTCTTCACAAAAAGAGTACATACTTTTAGGGCGTAGTATAAGTAGGCGAATTGGGACGCAGCAAATATCTACAGATTCTGCACGCTTGTGTCTCCGGCGCATGAGATCTAGAGATCAACATGATGAATATGATCAGTGTGTTATTCTAATGTTGATCTAGCTTACTGCTAGTCTCATACAGACAACACACAAACACAGAGAATAACATTATAACTTTTAACACACTCAAGTGCAGTTTAGTGTGATAGTGTAGAGTCAAGTCTCCATTTATATAGCGCTTTAACTATATAGACTGTTTCAAAGCAGCTTTACAGTCATAATAGGAGATTACAGTAACGGAGATTGTTTAGGCTTTACAGCAGCTCTAGAATAAAGTTATTGTCCAGCTAAAGTTAGTTTTAATTGATTCACTTCCGTCACAACGATTATTAACGTAACGTTATTAACTTAGGGGCCGCTAACACGACACCATTCTAACAGAAAACTCTTAAGTTCTCTCTACGCAAACTTTAAAAACACGAACCTGTGAGAACGCTGATAGCATTACCTCACAATTTTAATTCGTCTAATAAACTGACCAGTGTGAGTATTAATTCAGCACTTGCGTGTAGTTCGGTAGAATGAAATGTCCTGTTGCTTTATATCCGCGGGACTCGCGTGTGGCGCTGATATCCGTCTCTCATTAGCGATCGCGCTTCACACAACAGTCATGATAAAAACATCAATGTATTCACTCATCCATAAACATTATCTCCCATAAACATTATTAGATCCATCGGCATGACGACAAGTTCCATGATTCCGCTTATTCACTGCGTCATCAACCTACGCCTGTGTTATTGTAAGAGGTTAGCGACCCCTAGCGGCGAAAACAATTACATGTTGTATCTTTAATAAATGCTGAGGAAGTATTGTTCATTCTTAGTTCATGTTAACTAAGGTAGTTAAATAATGAACCTTATTGTAAAGTGTTACCCGTCACATTAATAAAATGCTGATGTCCTTTATTTTACATGACATATTTGATTGATTCTGTAGGTTTACGTCACCTGGAAATGCACGAAGATGTTCATGAAGAGGTCGTAGATGGCCAGAGAGAGGCGTCCGCTCGGCTGCATGGGCACCAGTATGAACTGGGCTCCCAGTAGCGGAACCAGTATGATGGTGCCGCGCACCGCTTTCATGTACACACTGCTCTCCGTCTGGTGTGTGACCCTCAGTTTGGTGATCAACACCCGCACGATGTTGAGCAGGAAGAACAGGTTCACCTGAGAGACACGGATGGAGGGATTCAATGCAGAAAATCATGTGTTTTTGTCTTGTTTTCCAGTGCAAACGTGCGGGTGCTCTTCGTGAGTCAGTCAAAAATAAAAATAAAATTTATTTAATATTTTGTATTTTTAGGGGATTTTATGGCACTAAATTATATTTACGCTGTATTTATAATCCATTCATTCACTTTTTGAGCATAGACCTGAATATGTCATTTCCAACTTAAACTGTGGTAAATGTTTAATGCTTTATTAGAGGAACAGATTGAAGAAGTTTGATCTCTTTACAAAGACGAGACTTGGCAGATAATAGCTGAAGTGAAAAGAGTTTTAAAACGTGAACTTAAGTTACAGAATTTTACGTTCATTGTTATGAAAAATGTGCAAAAATACTATTTTAAATTTTTATATGACATATATATTAAAAAAAAAATGTTTTACTCTAAAACTGAGAAAATCAAAGCGATAAATCTTAAGTTGTGCTCCAAATTTGAGGTTGATATCTCAAAAAATGTTGTTTGGCTGCAGTACCAAACGCTTCCACTAGAGGAAACTGCGTCATTTCTGACCGCGAGAAACACAAGTGTGACTTCTTTATCAGGACCAAATGGTGTTGAAAAGGTTTTGAAAAACCTTTTCAAATCATGTCCATGATTTTTTTTTTTGTGTGTGTGTGCACATAGCAAGTGATAAAACCTTTACCAAGTTTCGCACCATTCCGATGAAGAAGAAAAAAAAAAAAAGTACAATTTTTCGGTCAAAAATGACCGAAGAGCACCCGAGGGTTACATCGAGATACATGTACTTGAGAAGTAAAACGACTTCAGATATTAGGTCTTGTTTACTGAGGAATGTATCAAAATTAAGAGAGTTTATGCTTAAAACAAGAACTAATATCTAACAGTGGGGTCAGGAAAATACATGATTTTAACAGAGATCTGTGTTCCACATCAAAGAACTTTTAATTGTAGGAGAAAATAGTTTATTTTAAGGGTTTTCCGAAGTCACAAGATGTGATGTTTTCTCAAGATGGTTTCAATATTTTAAAATAAAACAAAATACTTTAAAATAAGCTAAAACTCAAGATGTAAGCTGATGTCATATTTCTTATTTGAATTAATGTCATATTTACTTAGAGGGGTCATGAATTTAGAAATCAAATTTGACATAAGAGGTCATTGTACTATAAATACATTATCTTATTTAATTTATACTGTTAATTTATACTGTTAATTTACACTGCTGCCATAGTACATTGTTGACTCATCGGTGCCTCATGATTATTCATGAGACTGCGTGTCCTTATCCTATAAGACGACCCCTCACTTAATTATTCATGCAAAATTGTTTATATGTCTATGTGGTGTTTTTAATACGCTTTAAGACACACCATGTGTAAGTTCATAAGTCGACAGCATTGCTGAGTATTTTCTGCTTAAAACTGCAGTGAACCAAAGACAGTCTCAAAAACACGGTTTGAAATCGCTGGTGTTTCTGACGTCACAAACGACCTTGTAACCAATCAGATCAACGTGTGATCGTCAACCAGTGGATCTCTGAGCTGAGTGAGTGAGTGGAGGCGGAGCTCATTTGCATATTCATAGAACCCCGCATACTAAATGAGGCAAGGGTGTCGAGTTACATTAAAGATATTTTAAGGCATGAATAAACTTTTTTTCAAGGAAAAAAACATTTAAATATGTCATTTTGGTGATCAAAGATGATTTTTAAGGTATATAATTATTGACTACATGGGGACTTTACTTATTAAAGCTAATGGAGACTGCGTGCCCTTATCCTATGAGAAGACACGTAGCTTAATTATTCATGAGACTGCATGTCCTTATCCTATGAGAAGACACCTAGCTTAATTATTCATGGCAGCACGCGTTGATTTCCTATGACAGACACTTCAAACACTGAGATTGCATACAGTAAGAGAGATGCATTAATGGATCAAATTTTTTTTTGTTTTTGCTTTGTAAGAGTTCTTAAGTTCTCTTCAACAGATCCTGAAATCTCAAAAATGATCATATTTAAATTAAATATTTCAAATCAGAAATAAAATCTGACATGAACTGTCCCAATAAATGTTGTTTCTTATGCTCAAATAGTGTTAAAAAAAGCTTATATTTTAGCCAATTTGCATTTGCGCAGTCATAAGAGCAGTTCTAATAAGTTTCCATTGCAACCGGTGATGACTTTACCAATTAGTGATTGGCTCTTTTATTTAAAAGGCGGGACTTATTCTGCCATATTGCGCATTGCACCTTCTCCCATTCATAGTAATATGAGTGCATTGTCTTTGTATATATAAAGTCTTTTGAACTTGAACTGGTGGTTTTGTGACCCATTTAATTTAAAGGGACTTTTTTTTTTTAATTTTATGCCTCCACTAACAGATTTTTTTTTTGTCTTAGGCATAAACTCAGAAATCAAGACTTAAAATCTTAACTAGATTGCTTCCCAAGTAAATGTATCTTGATTTAAGAACGTTTAGATTTGTACTGGAAAACAAGACAGAAACCCTGAGGAAGAAGATGATGAGGAGATGATGTTGATGAAGCTCACCAGCAGAGCGACGTATATCGGGCCGTGTGTGATGTACAGCAGGTTTGTGTTTATGACCCAACACCTGTCAAACACACAATGTCACTGCGATTAAACATTTTAAGGGTTAGTTTGCCCAAAAAAAATCTGTCATCATGCACTCATCCTCAAGTTGTTCATAACCTGTATAAATGTCTTTCTTCTGTAATATATATATATATATATATATATATATATATATATATATATATATATATATATATATATATATATATATATATATATATATATATATATATATATATATATATATATATATATATATATATATATATATATATATATATATATATATATATATATATTCGCTGGTCTCCATTGAAAAAAATATATGGAAGTCCATGGGGGAACATTTATGGGGGCTCGTCCGGGATATAATCAAATTGATTCCTCACGGATATAAATGTTATGTGTGTATATATATATCTTTATGCTGGTTAATTTTAAGTGTTAAATCTCAGGTTTACCTGTCATCGAGGAAGAGCAGACGTGCCACCGCGTACATGACAGCAGGGATCACTGGGAAACCTGTAGAAATAACTCACTACGTCACTGTTTTCTAATGTTATATTTGCATTGAGAAAATCTACGGTAATCAGTGTGTGATCAATCTTTCATTTCTTGCACAATAAATCATGATGAAAACAAAAGCTGGAAGTTATTTAACAAAGTCTAGTTAACATTATATTCATTATTATTATTATAATTATTCTGTGAACAATAAGTTAATCGAATGAATGAATGATTCAATGACTTACTCATTTAGACATTTACCGCCACCAACTGGAAGTTTTAGTTTCTGATTTGAATTATCACTTCATTAAAAAAATTATTTTAAATTTTGGGTATAGTTTTATTCTGTTTATTTACATTTACTCACTCTTGTGTCGTCTCGAACCTGTATGACTCTCTGTCTTTTGTGGAACATAAAAGAAAATATTTTGAGGAATGTTGGTAACCAAACTGTTTTGATCTAAATACCAATTCAGATGCAGCTTATGAAAAAAATCATGGCTGTTGTAGCCTAAAAGTTTATGTGTAATATATTCTACGTTAAAACAATTAAAATATTTCTTTCTATAGTTATTTGATGTTTTTCTCATTTAAAGGTGCATCGTGTAACATTTAGGAGGATCTGTTGACAGAAATGCAATATCATATACATAACTATGTTTTCAGTGGTGTATAAAGACCTTATATAATGAACCGTTATATTTTTATTAGCTTAGAATGAGGCGTTTCTCTCTACACACACCGCGGGTCCGCTTACATCCACATGTTTCTACGGTGGCCCTGAGCGGACAAACGCGTTTCGTCACTATGTTGTTCTTCGTGCAAAGAAGCTGCTAAAGTCAGCGAATAAAACACTTACACAATGATGAACAAAGTAACAATAATATTCACAATAACATCGTTTTACTGAATAATTAAGTAAACCTAATTTCTTAATCTTTGTAAAGAAACCTCATTGCTTAACTGGCTACTCTCTGCTGTCTCAGACGACGACATCACTTCCTGTCGGCCACCGTAACTTCTGTTGGGTGCAATTCACAACCTCACCACTAGATGCCACTAAAACTTACACACTGCACCTTTAACACAATAATCACTTTAAATGATGTTTTGGGGATAATTTATCAAACAAAATTGTTGTGTGATTAATTAGATTAATTAACTGGCAAATCATGTAATTAGATTAATATATATATATATATATATAAATCACGATTACTATGCTTTGTGTGTTCTGTGTTTTAGGACTTTTATTTTGAAATGTATCTTTTTACACAAGGGGCTAACAGGACAGGTGAGGGTAATTAATCACTATGGGAACAAACAAAGGCAAACAGGAACAAACTACAGGAAGTGAACAGAGAATCAGAAATTATACTTCAAAATAAAAGTCCTAGAACACAACACACAGGAGAAATCGTGACAAATGTATACACACAGGTCAAAGATGTATTGATGTTGATTTGTAAAGGGCGACCCGGGCTCGTGTTCAGTACGTACCCCAGCCGAGGACGTAGTACCAGCCCAGCTGCTGCTCGCCCACAAACACGGCCACGATGATGAGCGTGTGCAGGTAGATGCCCTCACACAACATCCAGAAGAAATTGGAGCATGAGGTGTAGTGAATGACACTCGCCAGGATCTTACAGCCTATCTGAAACTGAACACACACACATAAAATGCCAAAGGACCCCTAAATGTGCCAATACCCTTGTGAGAGGCCCTTTCCTAAAAAATAAAGGAAGTTATCCATCTATCTGTCATGCTGCGAAGTCAGCGACAAGGGAGGGGTGGATCCGAACACAGAGGATTTAATAAAGTACGATCAGAATACAATTAACTCAATAAACTACAAGAAAAAAGAACTGAGCGCACCAAAATAACAGCTATAGAAAGACAACACCAGAACACAGGCAACACAGGGGTTTAAATACACAAGATAACAAGGAACAGGTGAGGGTAATGAGTTGCCATGGAGACTAACGAGGCTAACTGGAAACAAACAAGACTATGGGAACAAACAAGGCAGCAATGGAAACAAATAGAAGAGAAACTAATCAAAGGAAGTCAAACAGCAGGAACAAAAATACCCTTCAAAATAAGAGTCCTTAAACAAGACACGGGAAACGAGACAGGAATTGTAACACTACATCTTGTAACATATTTTTTTTAATATTTATATCTGTGCCCCTTGACCACAAAACCAGTCACATGAGTCAATTTTGGGAAATTGAGATTTATACATAATCTGAAAGCTGAATAAATAAGCTTTCCATTGATGTATGGTTTGTTAGGATAGGACAATATTTGGACTTCAAAACTAAAAAAAAAATCAAAATATTGAGAAAATCACCTTTAAAGTTGTGCATTTATGTTGGCGATTGTGCAGCATTCACTCACAGAAATACATGTTTTATATATTTACGGAAGGAAATCTACTAAATATCTTCATAGAACATGATCTTTACTTAATATCCTAATTATTTTTGCCATAAAAGAAAAGTCGACAATTTTGACCCACACAATGTATTGTTGGCTATTGCCACAGATACACCCGCTCGACTTATGACTGGTTTTGGGATCCAGGGTCACATATATTACATTACTGAACAAAAGCAATTTTATTAAACCATTGAAATAATTATAAAAATTGTATCTAGGCATTTTTTAAATGAAAAATTCTATTAATTTTTTAAGTGCACACATTAACTTTGACAGCCTAAGATGTATTTGTAATGTTTTTTCTCTCAAATTATTATAAAACATTGTATTATTTATTAATGACCCTACAAGTTCAATTAAATTAAAATACAGTATGAGGGAAATATATTATATATATGTTTTATATTTTAGACAAGAAGGGAGAACACAACACAACTTGGTTAAGGTTTATATGACAAAATTATATGGCAAACAAAAACAAAAAAACAACAAAAAAAGCTCACATTGACTGACTACATAATCACTAAACAATAATCAGTTATCAATATTTCGATGGTTCTCTCGATTTGCATAGAATTTCTTTGTATGACAGCGTGGACAAATATTATGTCGCACAATTTGGCATGTTTCTTTGCATTATTATCATAAATAAAACAATCACCTCCAAGCACAACTACACAATAAACTTACAAAATCTAAAATACACTTTAATAATATATGGATAAAGGGTGAAGATGTTAATTTTCCTAGGCCGCACATTACTTTTGACCACTACTGTATACACTCACCGGCCACTTTATTAGGTACACCTGTCCAACTGCTCGTTAACACTTAATTTCTAAGCAGCCAATCACATGGCGGCAACTCAGTGCATTTAGGCATGTAGACATGGTCAAGACAATCTCCTGCAGTTCAAACCGAGCATCAGTATGGGGAAGAAAGTTGATTTGAGTGACTTTGAACGTGGCATGATTGTTGGTGCCAGAAGGGCTGGTCTGAGTATTTCAGAAACTGCTAATCTACTGTGCCCGGTTGCATAAAGCACCTTAAGTTTTTCCCTTAAGTGTGATACTTAAGGGGTGATTTACCCTTACCTAAGAGAATAACTTAAGGGTGTTGCATATAATCTCTTAAACGGTTCTCTTAGGTAAGGGAAACATTTAAGTTTTTCACGACAGCGATCCTGGATTCACGTTATAAAAGTTTGTTGTTGCCATAGATACGCAAAACACTAACATGTCGGAATATCACGTGTCAGTCCAGTGACGCTATCACGTAACACCGCGTTAGCTCCGAACGTGGCGGCAGTTTGTGTTGTTCACCATCTCATGCTTTGGCATTTGTTTTGGTTTTGTGAATGCACTTCTGGCTCTGTGTCTCGAAATACAGCTGAGTATATTTCCATAGCATACCTGTTTTCTTCTGTCATGATTCCTTTTAAAACACAGAATCAGCTCGTTCTCCTGTGAATTTTTTGTCGGCCACACACTCTCCGTGCGCCCACTGACTTAACGTTGTGATAGTTTACATGCGAGTCGCGTTTAATGACAGACAGACAGCCGTCTAGTTTGATAGCGATGTCAAATATTGCGCGTCGATCAAATCCGTATTCTGGCAACAATTTTTCATCGCTAAATTAGTCCAAAGGGTTCTCCCTATTCTCTATGATCTTCAGCTGGTTCCATAAATTCAGCCATGTCGTCTTATTTTTGTCCGCGTTACTCTTAAGGTTACGATTTCCAAACCTTAAGTTATACTTAGGGAAATTACCGTTAAGGGTTTTTATGCAACACTTAACGATTACTTAAGTGAAAAAACAGCATTTAAGGGAAATTCTAAGTGTTTATGACGTTTCACTAAAAAAACCCGTTAAGTAACACTTAAGGGTATTTTTCTGCAACACCCTTAGGTTTAAGGGAAACTTAAGGGCGACCTTAAGGGAAAATTACACTTAAGGTGCTTTATGCAACCGGGCACTGGGATTTTCACGCACAACCATCTCTAGGGTTTACAGAGAATGGTCCGAAAAAGAAAAAACATCCAGTGAGCGGCAGTTCTGTGGGCGGAAATGCCTTGTTGATGCCAGAGGTCAGAGGAGAATGGCCAGACTGGTTCGAGCTGATAGAAGGGCAACAGTGACTGAAATAACCACTCGTTACAACCGAGGTATGCAGCAAAGCATTTGTGAAGCCACAACACGCACAACCTTGAGGCGGATGGGCTACAACAGCAGAAGACTCCACCGGGTACCACTCATCTCCACTACAAATAGGAAAAAGAGGCTACAATTTGCAAGAGCTCACCAAAATTGAACAGTTGAAGACTGGAAAAATGTTGCCTGGTCTGATGAGTCTCGATTTCTGTTGAGACATTCAGATGTTAGAGTCAGAATTTGGCGTAAACAGAATGAGAACATGGAACCATCATGCCTTGTTACCACTGTGCAGGCTGGTGGTGGTGGTGTAATGGTGTGGGGGATGTTTTCCTGGCACACTTTAGGCCCCTTAGTGCCAATTGGGCATCGTTTAAATGCCACGGCCTACCTGAGCATTGTTTCTGACCATGTCCATCCCTTTATGGCCACCATGTACCCATCCTCTGATGGCTACTTCCACCATGTCACAAAGCTCTAATCATTTCAAATTGGTTTCTTGAACATGAAAATGAGTTCACTGTACTAAAATGGCCTCCACAGTCACCAGATCTCAACCCAATAGAGCATCTTTGGGATGTGGTGGAACGGGAGATTCGCATCATGGATGTGCAGCCGACAAATCTGCGGCAACTGTGTGATGCCATCATGTCAATATGGACCAAACTCCCTGAGGAATGCTTCCAGCACCTTGTTGAATCTATGCCACGAAGAATTGAGGCAGTTCTGAAGGCAAAAGGGGGTCCAACCCGTTACTAGCATGGGGTACCTAATAAAGTGGCCGGTGAGTGTATATAGTAATTTAAGTGCACACTAACTTTAACTAAACCCATTTTGAAAACCCCTGTTTCACAGTAAATATTTAAGTGAAAGCAACCATCAAGTTCAGTTCATAATGCTCACATGAATATCATCATATATATATGTGTGTGTGTGTGTGTGGACTTACAGAGTCTGTTCTGCTCTGATGGCCGCCGATGACAAAGTAGAACCAGCCGATGGTGGCGAAGGAGTTCAGGATGAAGGATGTGAACATGTTTTTATGAAGAGTGATCCGCTGACAGCTCAAACACCTGCACAAACACACGCATTCGTTCCTTATATAGTAGGTGACGTATGAAGCCTTTTCAGAAATACAGAAAGGGGTCATGACATGTTTTTTTATTTATTATTTGAATATGTTCCTTGAGTTTCACTTATAGAGTAGATAAAGTTTTATGCACAAAAAAAAACCCTAATATTGTTTAATAATTTATAACCTTCATACTGTCTGAAATGATCCGTTTTTAATGCGCGGCTCCTTTAAGGCTTGTCAGTAATCGCCCACTGTTATGATTGGCTAACGTCATTGTATAGGAAACAGTATCCCTTGCTATTGAAAACATTTACAGACGAAGCATTATGAATCATTTACTGAGGGTTTCTGATGCAGATTCTGTCAGATTAATACAGTCTCTGCTTCATCTGTCAACAGAAGTTTCTCTGTGAACTCTCCATTACACTGTGTCTCAGTCAAACGCTCCGAACACACACATAATCCTGCGACGCCATCCGGGACGCCGTTAAAATAAAGCATCCGCTTGTTCCTGACGCTGGATCTCCCGAAGCCTCGACAGAAACTCAAACCAGCCGTTTAAACTGGACACACGTTCTTCCACTCTTTCATTTCAGAGACTGAACGCCAGTGGGCGGAGCCTATGGTGTGATGAGGTGGAACTATTGGTCGATGTCTTGCTCTGGAGGCGGGCATATGCAAATGTGTGATGTCACAGATCCCGCAATATCAAAACGAGCTGTTTTTGGAGCTTGATTAAAGAAATGCTTTGTTTATAATGAGGAGGACGTTTTAATCAAGATGTTTTAACCTTTTATATGCCATAAGATCAAGGCAAGTTTTAATTCTCATGTCCCCTTCCACTCTTTCATTTGTCCAGTTGTTACAGACTCAAGCGTGTGGAGTCCGTCAGAAACTGAACACACATCTGTATTATTCATACATTTTTTTTTTCTGTTCTTCTAACGTTTTTTGAATGTTACTTTTTTCAGAACGTTCAAAAGTAACATTCCAATAATGTTTGAAAAATGATGAAATGGAATGTTCCCTTAATGTTCGTATAACCAAGAAAAAGCTTTTTTAGAACATTGTAAACCTGGATGTTCAGAGTAATAACGTTTTGGGAACATTAGCAAAATGTTCGTAGAATTTAGTCTTGTTTGTGTTTGTTGTCCTAACGTACTTGAAGTAGGAGAAGATGCATATGGAAATGATGAGCGATATGATGGAGAGGACGTTTCCCACAATAGCCAGATAGTAAGCCACAAGCGTGAGCTGCAGGACAAACCAGAGACACACAGATTATAAAACAGACGGGATTATGATATAATGATTTCATATTTAAGCTGAAGCTTAACCTTGAGTTTCTGCTTAGTGTAAGCGGAGCACTGAGTGTAATTGGACCAGAGTCGGTTGCTTTCTGGGTGACGAAACCAATGGCCGTCTGAGTCACACACTTTGGTCACTTTTTCTGAATGAACAAAAGGCAAAATGTGAAAAGACATGTTTGCGTGCATCACAAGTTACCGTAGTCGAGTTAATCAAATTAGTCTTTTTAAGTAATGCATTGCTTTTTAATTTACAAGAAAATATCTTTTTCAGTAAGTAAAGCAAGTAACTTTGACTGACAGCTCTCCTGTCCTCATGTTGAATACATCTGCATCTCCTTCAGCTTGAGGCTCATTCCTTTTACTTTTAGTGTGAAAGACACTTTACATTTGCAAAAAAATAGAACTTTTTTTAATTTAACTTAACTTAACACATTACTTTCTATAGAAATTTATTAAGTAAACTAGTTACTTTTTCTTTTAAAAGTAACTTTTCCCAACACAATAAATTCCATCACAATCAAAATAACTTTATTTTTGTAATTAAAACTGCCTTGAAAAGCAATCAAAATCTTTTTAATTACAATATAATTAATTTTGCTCTCAGTTAAAAAGACATGAGAAACTCCATATTAAAGAAGTAATATATACCGTGTATATATATATACTTATTGTGCCACTTAAATGCGAGCTGTAGTTTTGTCAAATTGTCAAATTTATATTAAAAAAAGTTTTAAAAATTCTAAATCCTACATTTTTCCAGGTTTAAATTACAAAAAAATAACGATTTTACACATGGTTTCAGACTTTTGGAACCCAGCATTATTGCCTTCAATTGATGAACAGTGACAGTAAAGACATTTATTATGTTGCAAAATATTCTATTTCAAATAAATTCTGTTCTTTTGAACTTTCTATCCATGAAAGAATCCTGAAAAATAAAATGTATCATGGATTTCACCAAAATATGAACTGTTTTTAACACTGATAATGTTTCTTGAGCATCAGATCCTCATATTAGAGTGATTTCTGAAGGATCATGTGACACTGAAGACTGGAGTAATGATGCTGAAAATTCAGCTTTGATCACAGGAATAAATTACACTTTACTGTATATTCACATTGAAAACAGCTGATTTACATTACAATAATATTTCTTTATGATCTGATTCTTGTCATGTTTATCTTTTGAAGTTTGATTATGTTACCTATTCAGTTTATCTGTATTGTTTCTTTGTCTACTGTCATGTTTATTTGTATTATATTGTAAAGCGACCTTGAGTTTGTAGAAAGGCGCTATATAAAATAAACGTATTATTATTAGTAGTTTTATCTCACCAGATGGATCAAAATCCTGGAAGTAGGAGGGGCAGTGCTGGAAGGCGGTGCCGGGGGCGGAGTCTCCCCAGCAGAGCCACCCGTCCCATGTGCGGTTACAGTACGGGCCTGCAGGGGGCGAGACACACATACACACACTTTATTAACATTTACTTTTACATTTACATTTAGGGCCCTATTTTACGAGTGGGCAGGTCCTGTGAACGAGTGGGCCGGTCCTGGTGATTGTGAACGAGTGGGCGTGTCCTGGTGAACGAGTGGGCGGGTCCTGGTGAACGAGTGGGCGTGTCCTGGTGAACGAGTGGGTGGGTTCTGGGTGAGTGGACGGGTCCTGGTGATTGTGAACGAGTGGGCGGGTCCTAGTGAATGACTGGGCGGGTCCTGGTGAATGAGTGGACGGGTCCTGGTGATTGACTGGGCGGGTCCTAGTGAATGACTGGGCGGGTCCTGGTGAATGAGTGGGCGGGTCCTGGTGAATGAGTGGGTGGGTCCTGGTGATTGTGAACGAGTGGGCGGGTCCTAGTGAATGACTGGGCGGGTCCTGGTGAACGAGTGGACGGGTCCTGGTGATTGTGAACGAGTGGGCGGGTCCTAGTGAATGAGTAGGCGGGTCCTGGTGAATGAGTGGACGGGTCCTGGTGATTGTGAACGAGTGGGCGGGTCCTGGTGATTGTGAACGAGTGGGCGGGTCCTAGTGAATGACTGGGCGGGTCCTGGTGAATAAGTGGACGGGTCCTGGTGATTGTGAACGAGTGGGCGGGTCCTGGTGAATGAGTGGGTGGGTCCTGGTGAACGAGTGGGCGGGTCCTGGTGATTATGAATGAGTGGGCGGGTCCTGGTGAACGAGTGGGTGGATCCTGGTGAACGAGTGGGCGGATGAGTGGGCACAATCACCAGGGCGGGTCCTGGTGATTGTGAATGAGTGGGCGGGTCCTGATGATTGTGAATGAGTGGGCGGGTCCTGGTGAATGAGTGGACGGGTCCTGGTGATTGACTGGGCGGGTCCTAGTGAATGACTGGGCGGGTCCTGGTGAATGAGTGGGCGGGTCCTGGTGAATGAGTGGGTGGTCCTGGTGAATGAGTGGGTGGGTCCTGGTGAACGAGTGGGCGGGTCCTGGTGATTATGAATGAGTGGGTGGATCCTGGTGAACGAGTGGGCGGACGAGTGGGCACAATCACCAGGGCGGGTCCTGGTGATTGTGAATGAGTGGGCGGGTCCTGATGATTGTGAATGAGTGGGCGGGTCCTGGTGAATGAGTGGACGGGTCCTGGTGATTGACTGGGCGGGTCCTAGTGAATGACTGGGCGGGTCCTGGTGAATGAGTGGGCGGGTCCTGGTGAATGAGTGGGTGGGTCCTGGTGATTGTGAACGAGTGGGCGGGTCCTGGTGAATGAGTGGACGGGTCCTGGTGATTGTGAACGAGTGGGCGGGTCCTGGTGATTGTGAACGAGTGGGCGGGTCCTAGTGAATGACTGGGCGGGTCCTGGTGAATGAGTGGACGGGTCCTGGTGATTGTGAACGAGTGGGCGGGTCCTGGTGAATGAGTGGGTGGGTCCTGGTGAACGAGTGGGCGGGTCCTGGTGATTATGAATGAGTGGGCGGGTCCTGGTGAACGAGTGGGTGGATCCTGGTGAACGAGTGGGCGGATCCTGGTGATTGTGAACGAGTGGGCGGATCCTAGTTAACGAGTGGATGGGTTCTGGTGATTGTGAACAAGTGGGCGGGTCCTGGTGAACGAGTTGGCAGGTCCTGGTGATTGTGAACGAGTGGGCGGGTCCTTGTGATTGTGAACGAGTGGGCGGGTCCTGGTGAACGAGTGGGCGGGTCCTGGTGATTGTGAATGAGTGGGCGGGTCCTGGTGAACGAGTGGGCGGGTCCTGGTGATTGTGAACAAGTGGGCGGGTCCTGGTGAACGAGTTGGCAGGTCCTGGTGATTGTGAACGAGTGGGCGGGTCCTTGTGATTGTGAACGAGTGGGCGGGTCCTGTGAACGAGTGGGCGGATCCTGGTTAACGAGTGGGTGGGTCCTGGTGATTGTGAACAAGTGGGCGGGTCCTGGTGAACGAGTTGGCAGGTCCTGGTGATTGTGAACGAGTGGGCGGGTCCTTGTGATTGTGAACGAGTGGGCGGGTCCTGGTGATTATGAATGAGTGGGCGGGTCCTGGTGAACGAGTGGGTGGATCCTGGTGAACGAGTGGGCGGATCCTGGTGATTGTGAACGAGTGGACGGATCCTGGTTAACGAGTGGATGGGTCCTGGTGATTGTGAACAAGTGGGCGGGTCCTGGTGAACGAGTTGGCAGGTCCTGGTGATTGTGAACGAGTGGGCGGGTCCTTGTGATTGTGAACGAGTGGGCGGGTCCTGGTGAACGAGTGGGCGGGTCCTGGTGATTGTGAATGAGTGGGCGGGTCCTGGTGAACGAGTGGGCGGGTCCTGATGATTGTGAATGAGTGGGCGGGTCCTGGTGAACGAGTGGGCGGGTCCTGGTGATTGTGAATGAGTGGGCGGGTCCTGATGATTGTGAATGAGTGGGCGGGTCCTGGTGAACGAGTGGGCGGGTCCTGGTGATTGTGAATGAGTGGGCGGGTCCTGGTGAACGAGTGGGCGGGTCCTGGTGATTGTGAACAAGTGGGCGGGTCCTGGTGAATGAGTTGGCAGGTCCTGGTGATTGTGAACGAGTGGGCGGGTCCTTGTGATTGTGAACGAGTGGGCGGGTCCTGGTGAACGAGTGGGCGGATCCTGGTTAACGAGTGGTTGGGTCCTGGTGATTGTGAACAAGTGGGCGGGTCCTGGTGAACGAGTTGGCAGGTCCTGGTGATTGTGAACGAGTGGGTGGGTCCTGGTGAACGAGTGGGTGGGTCCTGGTGAGCGAGTGGGTGGGTCCTGGTGATTGTGAATGAGTGGGCAGGTCCTGGTGAACGAGTGGGCGGGTCCTTGTGATTGTGAACGAGTGGGCGGGTCCTGGTGAACGAGTGGGTGGGTCCTGGTGATTGTGAATGAGTGGGCGGGTCCTGGTGAACGAGTGGGCGGGTCCTTGTGATTGTGAACGAGTGGGCGGGTCCTGGTGAACGAGTGGGTGGGTCCTGGTGATTGTGAACAAGTGGGCGGGTCCTGGTGAACGAGTTGGCAGGTCCTTGTGATTGTGAACGAGTGGGCGGGTCCTGGTGAACGAGTGGGCGGGTCCTGGTGATTGTGAATGAGTGGGCGGGTCCTGGTGAACAAGTGGGCGGGTCCTGATGATTATGAATGAGTGGGCGGGTCCTGGTGAATGAGTGGGCGGGTCCTGGTGAATGAGTGGGCGGGTCCTGGTGAATGAGTGGGCGGGTCCCTGTGATTTTTTGTTTTAAAATGTAATTTTAGTGCTTCATCATTTCATTTAGTTGCAACATTTCAATTTTTTTTGTTTACATTTTTTTATCTAATATTCATATTATTTAATTTCAGCTTTTCTTAAATTAACGGAAACTATTTCACTATTTTAGTGCCAATAGTTTTAGTTAACAATAACAACACTACAATTAGCAGATAGTCTGTTTTTCTTTTAAATGTATATTTAACAAAGTTGCCAATAAAAAATGAAAATAATAATAATAAAGCCATAATGTTAGGCAAATTTGCTTCAGTAAATGTATCCTGTTTTAAGTATGTTTAAATGGTTTGCTGTAACTTGTTTTCTTTCTGAATCTCCTGTGTTTAACAGGAAACAAACTAAATGATGCTAACATCACTTCCTGTCTTTCATCCTCTTACTGCAGTGGATTCTGGGAGTTTCATCTCCACACCAGCAAGAGCTAAAGGCAAAGAGACAGTAATTCAATTAGAGAAACACAATTATGCACTTATTTTTATTTATGTTCAAGCCTTCATCAACTTCCCTCGATTAGGCCAAACGAATCCATTATCATTTCAACTAAGCTTTAAGATCATACGGGAACTGATTACACATAACCAAATGTAGACTGTGAAATTATTCTAGAAAGTGGTTGTTAGATGTTGCTATATAAGTTTTGCATGTCTTCTTCATCTTTAGTTCTTCAGAAAATGTTAATGATTATTGATCTGCCATGCTCACCTTTTATTTGACTGATTCATTAAAGTCCCCTGTAGTCCATCATTTCATCCCTTAAAACTCATCTTTGATCACCAAAATTACATATTTAAGTGTTTTTTCCTTAAAAAGTATTCTATGAATATGCAAATGAGCCCCGCCTCCACTCACTCACTCAGCTCAGAGATCCACTGGTTGACGATCACACGTTGATCTGATTGGTTACAAGGTCGTTTGTGTTGCAAATAAATGAAATGAAGCACTAAAATTCTTTTCAAAAATTACATTACATTAAATTACAAAATTAAATCAAGCTATATACATATATATAGAAACAAAATTACAAAAACTTAAAATAAAATTAAAACTAATTTAGTATAGAAGTAAATAACAATACTAAACTAACAATATTTGGCCCTAAACTTAATTCAAGAGTTATTTTCTAAAAAACAATTCATATTTATTTACTGGTAAAATAGTTTCCTTTAATTGAAATAAAGCTGAAATTAAATGAAATTAAATAGTTTGTGACGTTAGAAACACCAGCGATTTCAAACCGTGTTTTTGAGACTGTCTTTGGTTCACTGCAGTTTTAAGGAGGAAATACTCAGCAATGCTGTCGACTTATGAACTTACACATGGTGTGTCTTAAAGCAGATTAAAAACACCACATAGACACATAAACAACATTAAAAGCTGGATTTGCACCAAAGGGGGACTTTAATTATATCCATTTTAACTTGTTTAATTATTTTGCAAATTGACTTTTACGTCTGTCCTTGATTTATGCACGTGTGTTTCTGATCAACGCTCACCTGGATCTCTGCGCGGAGGCTCGTACATTATTTTGAGGTAACACTCAAACTGGGCGGAGAGGATCTGCTCACGGGTCACGCTCAGATCCGCAGGGGATTCTGGGATATCGCTCCCCTCGTCTGCTGACATCCTCGCCGCTACGAGCACATCCTCACACTGACACACCTGTGCTCGTATTCAACAGGAACATAATACTTCACAATAAGGTTTAATATGTTAACATTAGTTCTATAGCATTTATTAATCTTAAATTCAACATTTAATTATAATTTTTTTTAAATCAAAGATTAATGGACTGTAAACTAACATGAACAAACAAAAGTAAAAAAAATTTACATTAACAAAGATTAACGTGGATTTTAAATATGTGGACGACTTTTTAACAATAACTGATCCTGTAGTGATCATTTAATTTTATTATGTTAAGTAATTTATTGTATTTTTTTATTGGATGCACCGATAGTAAATCTCTCAGCCGATTATTCAGAATGATATTTGTTGATACCGATAGTCTGATTTTCTTAATGAAACTAATGCTGTAAACTATACATGGAATCCTCTCATTTGGTACATAATTATAATATTAGAGGTTAAAATTAACAACAGAGCCCAAACTATTATATTCAACTGCTATTTATTTTCAGATATAATAATCACACTCAAATAAAAACTAAAATGTTGTATGTAACTCAGTTGTACATAAGGTAGTTTTCATAAACATGTCTTCATGACAAATGTATTCAAACACATTCAATTCACATAATTAACAGTAAATACGCTTGTCTCTAGTGTATTTATAGCTAACCAATGAACTCTGAACCCCAGATAACTCTCCTGAGGTAAATGTGACGTTATATCGTTCTCAAGCTGTTTTATTGACGTTTTTCCGCGGTTGAAACACTGATTGATGGATTACATGAGGCATGATTAATTTCAGGGAGTTGTTCTGAATCTTTCAACATTCCTTCTAATGTACATTCATGTTTATTTGCTGCTGTAACTAGTAGTAAAAAAGTAGTACAAAAATATGAAGATTTTGTGTGTGTCCCTTTAAATGCAAATGAGCTGTTGCTCCCCGCCCCCTTTTAAGAAGAGGGCGGATCTTCAAGAGCTCACGCTCCAGCATACTGGTATTGTGTAATATTCAGGTCCTGTGAGAAACTGTTCCAATGGGCGGAGCATACATGAAGAACTGTAACAATGGGCGGAGCATATGTGCCTATTCATGAAAAACTGTAACAATGGGCGGAGCATACGTGCATATTCAAGAAAAACTGTAACAATGGGCGGAGCATACGTGCAAATTCATTAAAAACTATAAAAATGGGCGGAGCATACGTGCATGTTCATCAAAAACTGTTCCAATGGGCGGAGCATACGTGCATATTCATAAAAAACTGTTCCAATGGGTGGAGCATACATGCATATTCATGAAAAACTGTTCCAATGGGCGGAGCATACGTGCATATTCATGAGAAACTGTAAAAATGGGCGGAGCATACGTGCATATTCATCAAAAACTGTTCCAATGGGTGGAGCATACGTGCATATTCATGAAAAACTATAAAAATGGGCGGAGCATACGTGCATGTTCATCAAAAACTGTTCCAATGGGTGGAGCATTCGTGCATATTCATGAAAAACTGTAAAAATGGGCGGAGCATACGTGCATATTCATCAAAAACTGCTCCAATGGGTGGAGCATACGTGCATATTCATGAAAAACTATAAAAATGGGCGGAGCATACGTGCATGTTCATCAAAAACTGTTCCAATGGGTGGAGCATACGTGCATATTCATGAAAAACTGTAAAAATGGGCGGAGCATACGTGCATATTTCATCAAAAACTGTTCCAATGGGTGGAGCATACGTGCATATTCATGAAAAACTGTAACAATGGGTGGAGCATACGTGCGTGTTCATCAAAAAGTGTTCCAATGGGTGGAGCATACGTGCATATTCATGAGAAACTGTTCCAATGGGCGGAGCATAAATAAATATTCATGAAAAACTGTTTCAATGGGCGGAGCATACGTGCATATTCATGAAAAACTGTTCCAATGGGTGGAGCATACATGCGTGTTCATCAAAAAGTGTTCCAATGGGTGGAGCATACGTGCATATTCATGAGAAACTGTTCCAATGGGCGGAGCATAAATAAATATTCATGAAAAACTGTTTCAATGGGCGGAGCATACGTGCATATTCATGAAAAACTGTTCCGATGGGCAGAGCATGCATGCATATTCATAAAAAAAATGTTTCAATGGGTGGATCATACGTGCATATTCATGAGAAACTGTTCCAATGGCGAAGCATACGTGCATGTTCAGTTCTGTTCCGATGGGCGGAGCATACGTGCATATTCATGAGAAACTTTTCAGATGGGCAGAGCATGCATGCATATTCATGAGAAACTGTTCCAATTGGTGGAGCATACGTACATATTCATGAAAAACTGTTCTATGGGCGGAGCATACGTACATATTCATTTTAAAACTGTTCCGATGGGCGGAGAATACGTGCATATTCATGAAAAACTGTTCCGATGGGCGAAGAATACGTGCATATTCATGAAAAACTGTTCCAATGGGCGGAACATACGTGCATATTCATAAAAAAAATGTTTCAATGGGCGGAGCATACGTGCATATTCATAAAAAACTGTTCCAATGGGTGGAGCATACATGCATATTCATGAAAAACTGTTCCAATGGGTGGAGCATAAATGCATATTCATGAAAAACTGTTCCAATGGGCGGAGCATACATGCATATTCATGAAAAACTGTTCCAATGGGTGGAGCATAAATGCATATTCATGAAAAACTGTTCCAATGGGCGGAGCATTCGTGCATATTCATAAAAAACTGTTCCAATGGGTGGAGCATACATGCATATTCATGAGAAACTGTTCCAATGGGCGGAGCATAAATGCATATTCATGAAAAACTGTTCCAATGGGCGGAGCATACGTGCATATTCATGAGAAACTTTTCAGATGGGCAGAGCATGCATGCATATTCATGAGAAACTGTTCCAATTGGTGGAGCATACGTACATATTCATGAAAAACTGTTCTATGGGCGGAGCATACGTGCATATTCATGAAAAACTGTTCCGATGGGCGGAGAATACGTGCATATTCATGAAAAACTGTTCTGATGGGCGGAGCATACGTGCATATTCATGAGAAACTTTTCAGATGGGCAGAGCATGCATGCATATTCATGAAAAACTGTTCCAATTGGTGGAGCATACGTACATATTCATGAAAAACTGTTCTATGGGTGGAGCATACGTGCATATTCATGAAAAACTGTTCCGATGGGCGGAGAATACGTGCATATTCATGAAAAACTGTTCCAATGGGAGGAGCATACGCGCATATTCATAAAAAAATGTTTCTATGGCTGGAGCATACGTGCATATTCATGAAAAACTGTTCCGATGGGCGGAGAATACGTGCATATTCATGAAAAACTGTTCCAATGGGCGGAACATACATGCATATTCATAAAAAAATGTTTCTATGGGTGGAGCATACGTGCATATTCATGAGAAACTGTTCCAATGGGTGGAGCATACGCGCATATTCATAAAAAAATGTTTCTATGGGTGGAGCATACGTGCATATTCATGAAAAACTGTTCCGATGGGCGGAGAATACGTGCATATTCATGAAAAACTGTTCCAATGGGCGGAACATACGTGCATATTCATGAAAAACTGTTCCAATGGGCGGAACACACGTGCATATTCATAAAAAAAAAATTCAATGGGCGGAGCATACGCGCATATTCATAAAAAAATGTTTCAATGGGCGGAGCATACGTGCATATTCATGAGAAACTGTTCCAATGGCGAAGCATACGTGCATGTTCATGAGAAACTTTTCAGATGGGCGGAGCATACGTACATATTCATGAAAAACTGTTCCAATGGGTGGAGTATACGTGCATATTCATGAAAAACTGTTCCAATGGGTGGAGTATACGTGCTGTTCAGTTCTGTTCCAATGGGCGGAGCATACGTGCATATTCATGAATATGCGTGTATGCTCCGCCCATTGGAACAGTTTTTCACAGGAACTGAATATTATACAACACCGGCAGCAAAACTAAAAATTGACAATCACATTCAAGTAGGCGACTTCAAAGGGCATTCATGTGCAATGTTTATCTAGGAAACTCGTATTTAGGATTATTCTGATAGCACGAGAGCGCAGCATCAGAGAGAACAGGCAGAGACGATACGAGACGGTTTCTTCACACACACAGTATGAGTTGCAGTCTGACACGTTGTGATTGACAGGATATGATCATTGGCTGTTTTTAAATACATCAGTGCATCCCTAGTTTTGTGTTGTTTGTCTGGATTTTATAACAGTATTTAGTAAACATAGAAAAGATGAATAAACATATTGCTGCTTGTTAATTGCCGAACCTCTGTGTCCAGCAGCAGAATGAGCATCAGCAGCAGTGACGGGCTTCTTGTCATGATCTGACACACACACAGGGGGCGCTAGAGAGCATCTGTGTCTGTGGTGAAAGACAAACATCTGCATTTTACTATAATTCTGCTTCAGCAATATTTGGAGATGCAAACATAAAATAACAATAAATAACATTTGTGTTTTGTCTAGTGGAGTTTTTTTTTTTTTTAGCTCCAGACCAGTTGACGCTTTAAAGTCTGTTGAACATTGAGTGTGTCTTCTCTGGGATGTGCATGAGAACACACGTTTATTTTTCTGAGAGGATGTCGCTCTCCGTCCATAAACACAGAGGTCGAAGCCCTTCGGCCACAGCTTTACAGGACAGACCATTAAACTCCACCAGAACCAGGGAAACCACAGAC